GTTGTGTGTAGTGAAGATGGCAGCCCACTTTGCACCATGTTGATTGTTCTGTCTCTGATGCATTCTTTTACTTACTGGTTTATTGAACTTCATTTATTTTTGGCAGAGCCTTTCTGGATCTACTGTCACAGGTTGTTGTTGTTGTTGTTGTTGTTGTTGTTGTTGTTGTTGTTGTTTTCAAGCTCGCAGAGCCCCAACACGTCCAATTCGTTAAAAGCAAACGAAGGCAAAAGAAAAAGCAAACGAAGGCAAAAGAAAAAGCAAACGAAGGCAAAAGAAAAAGCAAACGAAACTGTTCCGTCCCTCCAAGAATTGAACCTACGAACTGCTGCTCTCAAGCAGAACACATACCACCAGGCTTAGTGAGTTGGGATGAAACTGAAGCCCGTAGATAGGGTGCACTTGAGCATTTCCCATGCAGCATGGTTAGTACCATAAAGCTGGTCACTCGGTGTCACCCCTGAGACTCCACTTCAGCCAAATGCCCCCCCTGAGCTTAGTACAGGGGTTTCGCAAGCCGACCAGACAGACTGGGCATAATCGCCTGGCAGGGCAAGGCAAGCTGTGTTCGGAAGTGGGTTTTTAACTTTTTAAACTTTTAAACTTTTTTTCAAGCTCTCAGATCTCCAGTATCCCAAAAATCACTAATGAGATTAATCGAAATCGCTCCCTGCGGGAATTGAATGCGCGTGACCTGCTGCATAGTAACCCATATGACCAGGTGCTGGGTGCTGGGTTTGGACTTGGCTTGGGACTTGGAACTTGGAACTTGGAACTTGGAACTGAAGCCCGTAGTAGATGGTTAGTAACCATGCTGGGTTGGAACTTGGAACTTGGGACTTGGGACTTGGAACTTGGAACTTTCGAACTTAATCCCACCGCAGCATGGTTACTACCATCGACTATGGGCTTCAGTTCCAAGTTCCAACCCAGAGGCAGTGGATCCAAATGATGGTTACAACGATCTACGGGCTTCAGTTCCAAGTTCCAACCTGCTCGAACTTGGAACTTGGAACTTGGAACTTGGAACTTGGAACTTAATCCCACTGCAGCATGGTTACTACCATCGACCGGGTGTGTACTCGGACTCTGCGTCAGCCAAATGGCTCCTGAGCTTAGCGACGTGCCCACCTCCGGGTAGCAGTTGTCGGGCAGTCGTTGATGCTTAACCACAACCGGGGTTACGGTGGATTATATCACTTACGTTGTAATCAGTTAGGGGATTCTGCGGACTGTTGAGGGTTCAGTTTTCTGATGAGTCGGTGAAACTCCGACGAAACAGTTTGTTACGGCCTCTCGTTTGATGTCCTCTCCTCCCTCTCTGCCTACGGTTTACCGGGCAGCTCTGTTTGACCATCTATCTATCTATCTATCTATATATTCAGTGAAACTCCAACGAAACAGTTTGTCACAGCCCCTCATTTGTTGTCCTCTTCTCCCTCCTTCCCTCTCTGCCTACGGTTTACCGGGCAGCTCTGTTTGACTGTAGGCAGAGAGGGAGGGAGAAGAGAAGAGGACAACAAACGAGGGGCTGTGACAAACTGTTTCGTCGGAGTCTCACTGACTTATCAGGAGGCTGAACCCTCAACAGTCTGCAGAATCCCCTAACTGACTGATTACACTGTAAGTGATCATCCACCTTAACCCTGCTTGTGGATAAGCATCAACGACTGCCCGACGATTGATACCCTGAGGTGGGCACCAATCACTGCAGATGGAAAACTCTACAGACTGTCGGTTCACACCCATCACAAGCCAACAAAACACCCATGAAACAAAGAAAGGTGTGTCACATCCAAAAAATACACTCCAGACATGCTGCTGGCATCAGAGGCACAGTATGGCTGCGTAGTGACGGCCCCGACCACTGCCGCTCTACCTGAGCGGAGAAAACCGTAGCAGGGTGCTAGCGAAGTCATGGTATATATTGTCACTACAATGGCAGATAGAACATCGCTGCCTCCCTACAAATAATTGGCTGGTTGACCGCACACACCTGGAGCAGAGAGGCTTGGCGTTGCCGTGGTGCAAATCCTGCCACACCACCTTCCCCTCTCAAACGATCGAACATATTTTCC